TTACTGACAGTTACTGGGGAGACTAAAGTGTTTCCCATATGTAAATAAACATAAATGTAGCTGTGCATTTATGAGATTGATGTCTACCTACTTTGCTAATGAGGGTCCTTAGCTGTACATTTATTTACAGATGAAGACTCACATTGTATGGCTTTAACGGACTGTCTAAAGCAATAAAATGACATTCTGAGATACCAAAATAATTATTTTCTCAGTTAAACTACATACATATTTAACACTTTTATACAGAAAACTATGAAAAAGCATATATTATATATGCTTCTACTTGATAACACATCATTCCTGTTAATGACTTTCCCTTAGTCTCATGATTCCCTGGGAAAACAGAGGCAGAACTCAAAATGTGTAGACATATGTTTGCGAAGCCATGTGTTTGTGCAAGGTGTGTGTTGACAGTAAGATAGAAGAAAGTTCATTGAGAAGGTAGACCTTGGACCACATGCTCTTTCAAAGTAAAATAACTGTGGGGTAGATCTCTATATAGTTTATTTATTGTAATAAACTACAAATTTGTGAAATTTTAAAGGTATTATGTAACAAAGCATGTGAGCAACTTGTGTAATATAAAAATTACTAAGAAATCAAAATTAGAGTACTTCAAATGTGTTTGTGTTTATTTTACTTTTGGATACACAGTAAAATTTAAACGAAACATTGTTAGTCAGTGTCTAAGCCTTGCAATGGAGGGGCAGATGCAGTTTTAAACTGTGCTTTCTTCTCTACAGTATAAGCACAAACTTAAAATTATGATACCTTGGTGACTGTATTGACTCTGTGTCCCTCCATCCTGGATTAATTTTATTTATTTTTTGGAAATTTTTAAAAATAATTTTCATTTAAATTAAAAAGAATCTTATTTTACAAACCAATCCTAGTTCCCTCCCTTTCCTGTCCTCCCATGCCCCCCACGGATCCCCCATCCCACCCCCCCCATTCCACCCTCCATCCACTCCCATGTAGGGTGAGGCCTTCCATGGGGTATCATCAGTGTCTGTCACATCATTTAGGACCTAGGCCCTCCCACATGTATTTAGGCTAGGAGAGTATCCCTCCATAGGGAATAGGTTTCCAAAGCCCATTTGTGCGCTAGGGATAAGTACTGGTTCCACTGCCAGAGCCCCTCTGCCCAGGCCTCCAAACCAACACCCACATTCAGGGAGCCTGGTTCTGTCCTATACTGGTTCCCCAGCTGTCAGACCAGGGCACCGTGAGCTCCCACTTACTCAAGTCAGCTGTTTCTTTGGGTTTCCCCAGCATGGTCTTGACCCCTTTGCTTATCAAGTAAATTGCTTAAACATGTATAATTAATATAGGTATCATCTGGAAAAGTGAATAGGTATAAATACAATAGACAAAGGAACATAATTTTTATATTTAATGAAACTACTCATACTCTATCAATAGCTCACCATTTTTTAATTTCCTGTGTATATAAATAAAGTATGCTTTATGCTTTTTCTGGACTATAAAGTGTAGTTTATAATAATTTCCTACTTCACAGAATTGTGTACAATCACATGAAATGATACTATCCATATATTCTAGTTTACACTTTGCAAATAAGTTTTTCATTTTTCTTTGTACAGAAGTTTATAGGTCTGTGGCATGATAAACTAATCTTTCAATTTAAACTTTTTCACTTGTAGTTTTATATAAAGCATCTTTTTTAAAAAAAATACTCACGTGCCTTTTTTAGTAACTAGGGTGTGCTGGGTCTTGTTCTAAATGGAAACAGAAAATAAATATTGGTGAATGCAAGTGGGCAACTGTCTGTAAAAGTTGTAAAATGGAAACTAAGTCTAGTTAAGTTGCCAAGGAGTTTGGAATTTACACATGTGAGAGAATACCATGGAAAAAATTAGGATGAGACTGTCCAGTTCTTTTTTAGATAAGAAAGTTGAGAACGATTTGGCTAATCAAGAAAAAATTACATAAAGTGACTGGATTTTCAGATTAATTTTGAGTCATGAGCAGTACAAATCTACAGAAATAAATGCGGAATTAAAGAACAATTGAGGTGACAGAGGAACTTTGTGAATCACAGCACGTCTAACTGAATTCTGTGCTTTTAAAGATTCCATCATTGCATTTAATCTAGTTTATAATTCCAGATCCTTTACAATCTCCACTCCTAGCTATTCTCATTTTTTTTTCAGTAACCCAACTGAACATTTCAAAGCGATTCCCTAAGGCTTTTGCATTGTGTGAACTTGGCTGCCAGCATTTATATCTGTATGTTCTACCACCTCCCAATTAACAATGACAAAGCCCCCACACTCTGAGAAATCACAAACGCATTGACTGAAACCAGTTACTCTCCTTTTGCAACAGTTCAAAATGTAACCATATTCAACACAGCTAGTGGTTTTCTGTCTTCTCCACTTCTAAAATGTCTTCTCTCTTTCCAAGTTCATATACACAGAACTAAGTGAGTAATCCAACTTAAATTTGTTGCAGTGACTGCTTCCTTTCAATAAATGACAAAATATACTTGGTGAGTGCCCAAACAAGACATCTTTTGGGGTAATCCTTGTGCCCCACTTTGTCAATCTCTGACAAATCCCAGCTACTTCTACCTAACATATCAAGCATACACTCTCAAGCTTTGTACTTTCGTGTGTGTGTGTGTGTGTGTGTGTGTGTGTGTGTGATTGTGAGTGTGTGTGTGTGAGTGTGTGAGGCTGCATGAGTGTGTGGGTGTGTGCACATGGGCACACACATGAAGAGTTAAAGAAGAACATGAGATTCCTTCCTCCGTAGTCTTATTCCCCGATGAAAAGTTTTCAACTGAATTTGTAACTCTCCTTTCCACAAATTGGCAGGCCAGCAATCTCCCAGACTCTGCCCGACTTTCCTCACAATTCTGGGGTTACGAGCACAGATAGCCATGCTTAGTTTTTAATTCTGATATAAATGGAAAACACATAAAAGATTTCCTAAATGTCCTCTTCAAGTTCTAGCCTGTTCATCTTGAGCTGAAGACCTAGGGCAGTGGCTCCCATGTACATGTGACAGAGGGCAGCTCAGAAGTTGAGAGGGATTTGATTTCTCCCATTGGAGCACTAAAGAGTCGGTAGGGCATGCTATGGCAGCCTTCTTTAAATGTAGAGATGGCTTCATTGTTGTTTGGACAACGTCCAACCATCTTCAGTTTCTTGGTAGTCTCTAACAAGCTGAATAGTGACATTCCCTTTATTAATAATATATTATATCTCTATTCTAGTAAAAGGCTTTTGTAGTAATGACTCAGTAATGAGTTAGGTAAAATCACAAATACTCATTTTACAATCATAATTTTCTAATATCTTGATGTGTTTCATCTATTCATTGCAGAAAATGTACTTCAATTTTTTCCAGAATTATCAAAATGTCCCAAGCTAATATATACAAATATAATAACATTTTGAATAGATAATTATTCTTACTAGACACAGAAATGTTATTTATGACCACATGACAATGTTAGTCATTATTTTGTTTCCATTTAAAATTTTGATTTCTGTGAGAATGGGTGCTTTGTGTCTACGTGTGTATCACTCCTCAAAGGAGATATTTATCAATGTATGTGGGCGTATTGATTTTTGTCTTTGAAGGAATAAGTGCTGTTGGCATCTATTGGGTAAAAGCTCAAGATACTGTGACATGTTCTGCCAGTTGACATGCAATGTAACGTGGCTTTTGTAAGAAGAATTGTCCAGACCATAATACTAAGAGTGTCAAGGCAGAGAGAGACTCCTACAAATGACTACCATATGATTTAAAATCCTTTTCAGTGTATATGTTGCAAGGAAGCACATGGAATTATCTGACGGTTGAAAGATATTAAAATCTGAAAAAGGAAAATACACAAAAGCTTCAATATGTACTTAGAAAATAATTGCTTCATTATGAAACACATGCATTCATTGAATGAAAATACTTAAAACTGATCAGTCACTCTCTCAGTCTTTCTCTCTGTATCTCTCTCTGTCTCTGTCTCTGTCTCTGTCTCTGTCTCTGTCTCTGTCTCTCTCTCTCTCTCTCTCTCTCTCTCTCACACACACACCTATATTGCAGTGGCAGCTTATTCACCATGTGTTAAGCACTGTTTTAAATAATGTTTAGCATGGATTTGTTCACATCTGTCATCTGTATTTGCTGTATTTAGATACAGGAATAATTCACAGAGAGGCAACAATAACTTATTTTCTTTTTCTTATTCAAATTCTAGTACATATGTATGTCTTCAATAGCTCTCTTTCCATTAATTAATTTACCAAATTTTTTCCATTTTATTGGGTGAGTGAATATTTCACAATAATTTTGATTTGATGCAAATTACTAAATTGTATTGTTAATGCTAATAATAAAGATAGGAATTTGGAGTGGATCTTGTATGGATTTATTATGTAGAGTTACAGGTCAAAATTCTGTTGCACTCAGAGGGAGGAGAAACTGAGGCTGAATAATAGTGAAAAATGAAGATGAGTGTTTATTCCTTACATGTATCTCCTTGTGCAATATCAGTGCTTTGTAATAAAAATCAGATTAAGCTATTGAGTGCAGTTTATATTTTTATACAAAATAATTATGTCTACATTTTCCTTTCTGAAATGCCCCCATCCTTTTTTATTCACCTTTCTCTCCACTAAATAATAAACATAAGTAGACACCAGTGGAAATGTGAATTTTCTCAGCTGCTTTGTTTCTATGCCTTGGTTATTCTCTTTCTTAAGCCCTTTGTATCTCGTGAGAATGATCTGTGTTTTCAACATATAGTCTCCAAGCCTAGTAGTTCATACATTTTTGGTGGGGGTAATAAATTAACAGTGCAGACCTATTGGAGATATATGTCCCTTCTTTGACTTAGGCTTTGCCATCATCTTATTATGTCAACTATCACAAAACCCAAAATTCTGAGTATTGTTCGAGGAACTGGCACAACGTAGACCCAGCTTCTTTCTGAATGTACCAACTAATGTGTATTCGAGAACCACCTCTGAATGATTCAGGATTAAATTTTATTTCATTCTTTATGCTTTATGGAGACACACATATCTTGAAAGTTTTCCTGGGAAGACTTAATTAGACTTGTTCTTCTTCTTGGGTTGTGTGCATCTTTTCATCCACCTCCTTTAATTCTAGATGCAGCAGTGAGTTCCAGGTCTTATGCAGAAAGCAATCCTGTGTTCGTTTTCAGAGCACTGGGTTTTGCAGTGACCTTTACCCATCCTGCACTCACTCCTCAAATCCAAGCTACCGTACTCAGGAAGCTTCCATTTTGCTGTAAGAAGGAAAGAATGGCTGGAATTAGGAAACTATGTATGATATACCCATAAGGAGAAAGTTCTAGAAACAAAAGACTAGGGCATGACAATTCTCAACTTATGAGGAAAGTTTAAGTGAATTCCCTGTTGCCTTAATATGAAGGGTATCCTACCCTTCAGAAATGTGTCTTAGGACTACTTAGGTGCCCACATATGAATGGGTGATGGCTCAAGAAAAGTTCCTGAAGACAATGGTAAAGGTGGGTCATGCTTTACATTTTGTCTGGCTTGCTTTCTGCAGCTGTCAGAAATTAGAATTAGAATTAAGGATGCCCATTTCTGATCTCACAAATAATCAACTGGAGTCTTGTACCTTATGATTCCTTACTGAAAACTATTGCCAAAATTCATTGCAACTTAATTTTAAGTTTCAGAAATATGCAGAATTAGGCAATGATATACATTTGTTCAAAAGCTTACAACTTTCCTGGACGTTTTATGAATTTCTTTCCCAAATATATGAACTAAATTATATCTATATGAAACAAAAGCATTGATCAAAAAGAAAAGGGGAAAAGAGGGAAAGGGAAGAGTGGAGGGGTAGAGAGACACATACACACACATAGGGAGAGAGAGAGAGAGAGAGAGAGAGAGAGAGAGAGAGAGAGAGAGAGAGGGAGAGAGAGAATATGTATTCATTTTTACCCTTACATGATTTCTAAAATTACCACAACATTTCCAAGAGAATAGTTGTTTAAAAGGCATTCTTCAGATTTCTGTCTGATGTGTTAATCTTGGTAAGAAATGAAGTGTGCTTAGGGGCCAACTCTATTCTGCCACTCTTGCATGGTGTACAGTTCCATTGGCACACACTTCCTTACACATTGTATACAAATGCTTTCATATTTCAACGAGAGTTGAGGTTATAGACTGCATAAAACCTGAAATATTACTTGATTTATTTCTGGAGAAACTGAAATATTTACTTGCTTTATTTCTGGGGAAAAAGAAGTTTATTAACTCTTGCTTTGCTTACAATTCCTTTTGAATCAGAAAAAACAGAAGTGATGGAAAAATTTGTAACTTGAGTGAGTTATGATGAGATTCTACCAGTGTTGATTTTATGCCATGGTGAACTTTATCATGTCTTTGTCTAGAATTGCAAAACTGAAATTAGAGTCCATTTTTTCAGATAGGAGTTCATGAAAATCAGGCTGACTTCAAAATTATTACATAGCCACGGATGAAATTGAACTCCTGATCCCACTGACGCCGCCTCCCCATTGATGGGTTTACACAAGTTTGCTACTATAAGAGTCGGTTAGTTTGTATAAAATAGAAATAACTCTTGGGAGTTTTGGCAGGTTCTAGGTTAGACTTCTCATCCTAAGCAAAGTTGAATTTGTGGTTAAGCAAACCTTTGTCTTGAGGGGCTTGTTTTCTGCATTGTGGGTGATTTAGCAGTCTTTATGAACTTTACCCAACCATTGCCAGTAGTATAAACCATGAAAAATGTTCTCCAAGCATTGCTTACTGTCTTTTCTTGTATGATGATGGAGAATCAGTGTTCTAATAATACTGTGCAAAGACAAATAAATAGTCCTTTGTCTTCAATGCATGAATCACATATTATCCTCACTCTGAAGCATCTGCTTACGACTTTCAGAAGAATTCTTCTCCATGTCTTTATCACTAGAGAACTGTTTATACTGTTCTAGCTGTTTTGGATGATTGAGAATGCCTTAAGTAGTATGTGAATCTTAATTAATTTATAAGATAAATCTATACAGAATTACTCCCCAAACAAATTTTTCACCTACAACAAATCTTTTCATTTTTATTTGTTTGTATCTTTTATTCTTTAGATTACCATGAATGTTGGGGGTATAAGGGAAAAAAGACAATGTGAGGTTTTAGACACAAAAATATGCTGTTCTGTATTCAGAACATATATTAGATTTTAAATAAAAATGTACATTGAGAATTAAATAATTCCCAATTTTTCAGAAAAAAATGAAAATTGTGGAACAATAAAAAGTATCACATTTCTAGAAGTTATGTGCATTTATAGTGTCTAAAAATGCAGACGAAAACTAAGTTACACAAATGGAATTTCCTTGCTTAGAAATTTTAAGGACATTAATCAATGGTAGTATAATGATATTTCAGCTTTGAATAAGAATTTTCATGTAAATAATATTTAAGTTTAAAGATTCAGAAATTGGGGAATATCAAATAAAATCACACTGGACAGCTATGATTATCTGCCCAAACCTGGGCAAGTTCAAGCCAAACAGCTCTGCATGCCCAACTATTGGCTAAGGAGCTAATGACAGTTCACGGCTTCTGAGGGGAGTGTTTTTTAAAAGTGAGGTTTCTTGTTGTTTGGTCATATCCTGGTAGAAGTCTCCATACCCGAGAAAATTTTCACTTAGTGAGCTATATTTCACTTATGTGTTAGTATGTGTGCCCCTGAAATAGTAGTTTATGTGCAACACACATATGAAGGTGAATATAGAGGCCAGAACAGATCATTAGATACCCTAGAGTTGGGGTTGTAGGTAGTCTTGAGCTGCCCAATTTCTGTGCTTGGAACTGAGGAACTGAACTTAGGTCCTCTGTAGGAATTCATAATCACCAGTGATATATGTTTTTATCCAGTTTCATTCTACTACTACAAGTTGGTGGACTATAGTAAAAGAAAGTCTATTAATTACGGTTCCTAAGAAATTTATAGTATGTCTCTCTGATAATGAAAAGAAAATAACATTCAGGCACAGTGACAATTGTTTTTTTTTTCAAATCATAGTATTTTTGTCTGTTATAATTAGAGTTCATGTATAATTTTAAAATGATCATACTCTTTGGAAATAAAAGAAAAACACATAAGACTATTGACACGCAATATTATTTATGCTACTCTATTATCTAAGTGATTTATAATTTCCAATTCTCTATTGCGTGAAATTTTTCATTTTGTTGAAGGAATGGATAAGTAACTTTGGTTACTAGTAAGGGCACTTGAAGAGGTATGTTGCATATAGGCTTGAAATACATTTATATAATTATTTACTTGTGTTAATTATTGCAGAAAAATAATCAAATAACCTGTTATGTATCAGAGTCCAAATTAAGCCTGTGTTATATAATGACTATTGGTCTAGACTGTTAAAAATGAATGAATGAGTTAATTTATTAATATTAAAGAAATAAATAAATTGAAGTCAGCATTCTTAGTTTGCTTTTTTACAGTTAATACATACATTTCACTTCATAAAAAGACAGATATTTTACTGTATACCTGCTAGGAAAGGGTGGTTCTTCAGAGAATTTTTCATCAAAATACAGTAGATAGTAATAACTATAAATACCTAAAAGAAACTCATCAAGGGATGTAATTGGCTTGTAATTCTGAGAAAAGAATACCAAAGCACTTTACTAGTATTCTATTCTTGTAGAATACAAAAAAATAAGTTAAATATTCTAACACTGAACTATTTACATCTTATAATTGATAATGCTCAATAATAATTTCCCAAAAAGTATAAATCCATCAGGAATGAATACCTAATATATGTATTTGTAGATAAATATAATAGGATGAATACGGTTATTTTAATTTTAAACTTTATGACCACTATATTTCATCATATTGGAGTCTAAACATGGTGGAGTACAATCCTACCATGTATCATATCTTGAAAACCCATGATAGCCGGGCAGTGATGGCGCATGCCTTTAATCCCAGCACTCGGGAGGCAGAGGCAGGCAGATCTCTGTGAGTTCGAGGCCGGGCTGGACCGACAGCCCCCAAAACAATAGAGAGAAACCCTGTCTTGTAAAAACCAAAATAAAGAAAGAAAGAAAGAAAACACACGATAACATCTATAAACAGAATGAAATTAATATTAATACAATAGATTTGACTAAACTATATTTTCTTCATATCTCACTGGGTTTCCCACTAGTAACTATTTCCTGTTGCAATTCAAAAATTCCATAGTAAATCTAGCAATACTAGATTCTCTTTCTTACTTTAAAAAAATATTTTTAACAAACAACATCTGATGCCTTCATAAATCCATTTCTACCAATACCCCTGAAAAAAATGCTTGCATATTACCTGGTGAAATTGTGACACAAAGGAGAAGAATAAAGAGAAAGAGATGGATCTTCATGGTACAGTTTCTTAGGCAAGGAGTGGCAATTTATCTTCCTTTGAAAGTCGGTTTGTTTTGCAATCAGGAAGCAATAAGCACCTTTATTTATAGATCTTCCTAGAAAGGATGTTTAGCTACTGAAAATTGTAAAACCCCAAACTATTTGTATGCGTGGGTGAATTGGGCCATTTTCAAAGATCATAGTAATAAAATTATTACTAGTAAATTTCCTCAGGAAAGCAAACCCAGATTGGATTAATTTTAATGAAACTTCCCAATAATCAACTTTTCTTAACTGTTTTAAAAAACAATATTTGTTTAAAATGATCGCTAAAAGTGTAATGTTGAAAATTACAGTTTAGTTATATGATATTTGTATTGCTAACAACTTTAAGGTGTCTATTATTAAACCATTCAGTGTTGTCTCAGGATATTAGAACTGGAGGTTATGATTGAATTCTTGTGTTTTACATTTTAAAACAACTAGAGGACCTGAGACCCAGTTATTGTTTCAATTATAAGATGCAGTCACTGGTGATTTGGGGGAAGGCTTATTAATTTTAATGATAGCTTATCAATTTTTAGCAACTACCCATTCAGTTTCAACCTTCAAAATGTAATACTTTTCACAATTCATTTTATGGACCTGAAAGTGATGTCAGCTTCAATCTACATGTTTTTAACATCTTTATTTTACATATGGTAAAATGATATTTCTGGCAGTTGACCCAACTTACAGAAGGTGATACTGTGAAAAATGAAGCAATGGATTCTCTTACCACAGGGTCAGGTCAAATAAAATACTGGGGCTGTTGTTTTTAAACTCTACCTACATACTAATTCCCAAGCAGGTTAGTTCAATCAAGATTTCAGAGCCCCCAGCCCACCCTTCACATGTCTGATTTGGTATTTGCAAATGAAGGTCCAGAATTTGCTTTTCTAATAGGACTAGGGAATATTATTGTTATGGAAAGGGACTGTACATAACACTGGTAGATCTGATCCATTCATTACATACAAATAATAAATATATGACTGAAAGAATAGACCAGATTGATTCATAAAGATCATGGGGCTGGTTTGCGATGTATATCCAACCCCAAGTGAGAGAGGGGAAACAAAAATAGTTGAATTTACAAACTTGATAATACATGTAACAAATGTTTCACTCAGTAAAGGGGTCAAGACTGGGCTGGTGAAAGCCACAGAAACAGCTGACCTGAACAAAGGAGAGCTCATGGCCCCCAGACTGATGGCTGAGAGGCCAGCTTGGGACTGATCCAGATGCCCTGAAAGTGGGTGTCAGTGAGGAAACTTAGGCAATCTATGGGGCCTCAGGTAGTAGATCAGTATTTATCCCTGGCATAGGAATGGAATTGGGGAGCCGATTACACATGAAGAGATGCTCTCTAACTCTGGCACCTGGGGGGAGAGCCTAGACCCTGTCCCAGATGATATGATAGATGTTGGAGATCCCCCATGGAGGGCCTCACCCTCCCTGGGGAGGGGTGGGGGGTTTGAGGGGCTAGTAGAGCGCAGGGAAGGAAGGGAGGGAGAGGTAGCTGGGATTGACATGTGAAACAAGCTTGTTTCTAATTTCAATAAAATTTAAAAAATAATAATGGAAACTAGAATAAAGCTAAAAGTCACAGAAGGGATTCAGGTTCTATGGAAGTATTAATTATTTCTGAACAGTAGAACAAGTTTGTTGCTATATTACTATGTAACATTTAATACATGGATATTATGGAGCATTGACATTTAAAATTCACTAGTTTACTTCTAATAACATTAATTACTGGACAGGTAGGATACCATGAAAACATGTATAATTTGGAAAGTAGTGTACAGGTATAGCTTGTATATAAAATACAGATCAATAAAACCCTAACATGAGGACATTTGCCCATCCCCTTACCATTGGTTATATTAAAAATATTTACAAAGAAATCATGAGCCAAATAGTACTGGAGTGGTGTTAAGATGTTATGATAAACTTGGTTGTAAGAGCAAAGTTACTATGAGAATTATGACATCATGTAGTCACAAAGTATTAGTCCATCAATAGCACATCAATACGCATGTATATGGTAACGTGCAATCCTCAAAATGCAATGAGTGCAGAACTGAGTGCTACAAAAGTGAATGAAGATGTGAAGAGGTAATGGATATAATGACACTAGAAGCAGTAATGCTCCTCTTCTGATAATGAATTCTGTAAGTAGAATTGGTAAAGAAAACACATGGACACATCGGTAGAATTTTCAAACCATCAAAAAGGAAAAAATACACACACACACACACACACACACACACACAGACACACACACACACAGTAAAACATAAATTCTTCTCCAGAAGTCATAGAACATTTCTCAAGCAGCCAATATATTAGGACTCAAATAGGTACAAAGAAATTTTGGAATTAAAATTATGAATATCAAGCCAGGTGTTGGTAGCGCATGCCTTTAATCCCAGAAGGCAAAGGCAGGTGGATCCCTGTGAGTTTGAGGCCAGTCTGGTCAACAGAGCGAGTTCCAGGACAGCCTCTAAAACAATACAGAGAAGCTCTGTATCGAAAAACCAAAAATTAAAAGAAATCATGTATTTCTAATAAGTCAAGTGTGTTAGAAATCAACAATGAAGAACATTTAAAAGGTCATAGGCATCTGATAATTAAACAATAAATTTTTATATCAATAGTGTCTTCCCTCATATATTAGATTTCAACTGCTTGAGTGTTAGTGGAGACAGTAATGTGGGGTAATGATACTCATTTACTTTACGGGAGCACTTATCTCAATATCAACATATGTCTTGGTGAACCACAGAACACAGAAATGTAAAAGAAAGTTGGGCAGGAGATGCCTGGATGTGAATTTAAGCTTCATTTTAATAAAAGAAAATTTCAAACATGTCGAAGTCTTCTACCTGACTTAGTCTCTGTTATAAATACTACAATATTGGGGATAAATGATTTCTGAACCTAATCTTATCCCACTTAATTTTTCTAATCTATTATGCTAAACACAGTTAAATTCTAAATATGTCTTGTGCATCAATTAAACCAATATAACATTGTTTTTGTCTAACAATGTACATGTATTTGATTAGTCTAATTAGATTACAGCTGTTGCCACTCTACCAGGCTTGAAAAATTATTCCAATATTTTCTCTCTCTAGATACTGCAAATAAATATAAAGTGTCATGGTGTGATTATATTAATGCAATGATTCTATGTCAGTGACATTAATTTAAGAAATCCTAATTCCTTGATGTTAAAGATTGATGCCTATGACAATAATATTTCCTGATGGTTCAAAGACATCAAAAACAGAAGGAAGGGCTAGTCTTCCTTATGACTGAAGTCTTGTAAGAAAGCAGGGACTGGTCTTCTGCCTTAACTTCTGTTCTCATTTGATAGAATGAGGGGAATTCTTATTTTATTAGGAGCAATAACTGCCCAGTTGATTAGTGGCTGTGTTAACAGAGTCTCGAGAATACTGATGATGGCCAGAGAACTACACCATCTGTTAAATTCTTTTGCAATTTATTTCTATAGAAAAGTATGCAAGTTACATAAATGTGTGTATTAACTTTTGTGAAAGCTAATAGCTTCACAATAATTCTTTTACCATTCTAGAAGATGATGTTTTCTATTTATTCACAGTTATTTTTAAAAGTTTATTGTGCTGACTATGGATCTCGATGTAATAGGTAAGCCAAATAATATTTCTGAAGGAAGGTTTTGAGGCTCCAATGACACTCACATTGACTGTGGAATTAAAGCAAAAGAGGGCATGTTGAAGAAAACACTTCTTGTTTAATTTTCTCTTCATTGTCTTATTCTGCGTAAATCTGCCACTTGGTACCTCCAATACATTCAGTTATTCACTATTTTCATATTTAGACTTTTTAGAAACACCACCACTTTGGATGATAAAACTGTACAAAATGCATTTATTAAATGATAGCTAGTGAACGAGAATAGTCACACCTTTTGCACCACTTACAATGTAACTTCCTGAATAAATTTGCAAATTAATTCTATCATCTTCTCTAACAAATTATTTTTTAACTTTTACCACTTAAGTAAGATGTTTTTCTACTTTCCAAACATTTTATTTTTTGAAGAGGGAGGAAATGAGAGACATTATGTGTAGCCAGAATTATCCTCAGTTGTTATACTCATTAAACAAAAGACCATATACTTCCTTGCTATTTTCCACTGATTATTTAGTAAAATTATGACCTTACATTAAAAAATGTAGAAGGGGCTAGAGAGATCCCTTAGAGGTTAAGAGCATAGAATACTATTCCAGATGATCAGGGTTTGATCCAGGACACACAAATGATGGTTCACAATCATCTTGTTTGACCTGTATTTGTAAACTTAACTATAAAAATCTAGCTACCAAAAGGAAATAAATAAATCTCTAGACTCTCAATTTTATTGGCACTTGTAATAGTCTTGTAACAATGTCACTATAATATTAGTGACATCTATTATGAAAGATATAACTTTTAAGCTACTTTTAGGAAGTTCATTTCAGATTCCATTCATCACAGTCCACAATTCCCATCATCATTTTCTTTGGAAAACCATTGTTACAGGAGTCTATTGAACGAATTTTTACATAAACACCAACAAACCTCTAAGAAGAAGCCAGTAGTAAGTATGAGCTATATCCTAGCATTTCATAAGACAATAAAGAGACTACAAAACTTCATTGTAAGTGCCTGAGCTTCCTTACTGAGCCAAGGTTGCTTGACATAACCAAGAGGAATTAAACAAGGCCAGTTGGAGGGACCACTTCAAACCTGGGGCTACGATAGTATTTTTTGAGAGCAATCTGACTTTTTATACCTTTTTCAGAAACAGAGTATAATGACAATTTCTAGGATCAATACAGTTGTAGTTGTCAGGATACAATGATGTTTGCAAGCTCTATAGGGCATATAAGAGCAGTTGTCATGTCAAGCTTCCTTGCTTCCTTGACCACCAAGGGGAACATGCAAAGATATACAAAGCATGTATATACTGCCTGAAGGAGCGCTTTGGTTTCTCAGAATC